GAGAGAAATTCTTGCAGCCCTTAAAATACTTAGATATAGCTATTAATATAGCTAGAAACACACATGCACACACAAATGGTTACAGACCAAGAAATATCCTGAGTTTTCAGGTGGTTTTCTCCTCTCCTTTGCAATATAATTCCTTCCTCCCTTCCTGAATATGTGCTTGCAGTATAAAGAAACAGCAGCAGCTACACTTGTCCCTGACTTTCACTTCACCAAAAGGTTATACAGACACAAAAGCAAACAGACAAGAAATTTTGTTTGTTTGTTTGTTTTTTTTGGTTTAGATTTCTTCTTAGTTTTGAAATCAATCACAGACTTACCATAAATTCAGAATTTCTAAAAATAATTTATTGGCATTAGAAGCATTTTTCAATTTTTCTTTTTTTTTTTTTTTTTTTAGAAGCTGTGGATTAACTTGGCTATTCCTGTTTTAGAGCAGGTTCATGAAGACTAAGTGCCTTTAGTAGCCTACATCACAGATGTGGACATAGAGAGCAACTACAGGAAAGCTGCCATAATACTTGCATTGCCTGAATCCTATATCACAACCCTCATACCTCAAGGTCACACTCTCATCCAATAGCTTAATTTGCTCTGGGACATAGAAATGCTTTAAATATGTTCCTAATTATACACTATGTTTTAAATCTATTTTTTCAAATGTCTGTGAAAGTAAGGTTTGTATACATAAAATGATAATAAACATTGTAACTCTAGAAAGCCATTATATATATATACACATAAAAGATCAGAATCAGAAATGTAAGAAAAAAAAAGTCAGAAATATAAATAAGTGAAAAAAAATGAAACTGATAAACAAAATGAAATATTATGAGTCCATTTAAGATTTGTAGTGTATACAAAGTGTTTCCAGTTGCATGACTCTTGGGTTACATGTTTTTCCCACATAAATAAAATAACTAATAAGCTCTTTCAGACCACAGCCTCACCAACTGGCTAGCAGGTGGGTGAAGTGATTCTGCCTCTCCTACTCAATTTGATAAAACTTTCCATCTGCTTTCTATCTGCATGAAATGTTCACAAATGTGAAATAATACACAGTGGACTAAAAAATAATATGCTCAAAAAGAAAAATAATGTACTTGATCAAAACTGGAAGAACTATGAACTCACTTCCACCCTAAAGATATCCAAACAACCTAAGGACTCTTGTAAAAATGAACATCATGCTCAGAAAACAGGAAAGAACAGCAAGACATAAATCAAAGAAAAATATCATGAGGGTGTGCTTTAGAAAACTGCATGGCTTGTACAGCTTTTTGTGTACTGAATTCTATTCCTACAGTCCTTTACAGAGCTCGATAACCCCAGGCAGCCTAAAGAACACAAAACACCCGTGTGTCCATAGCTAGTGCAAGTCTTGTTAGCAAGAGCTCAAGGCCACTTGATTAAAAAGTGAATTTTGACAGGTAAGAAAGAAATCAGCCATACTCTATACTTTACAAGGCATAGGAAAGGAATTTTCATGTGAATTCAAGATGAAACACAACACCAGGAAAGGTATTATGGAACATTTGCTGTGCTGAGGTTATAGAAACCTTTTGGCAATGTAAGGTTCACAAGCACATAAGAACAGTCTGCAAAGAGATGATCAATAAGGATAAAAACATCCCCTCAGGAATTGAGAAATTATTAGATGCCATGGAGTTGCCAGAGGGGACAGAAAACTGAAAAGGAAATAGAGAACTGAAGGCACTGAGTCCTCTCCTGTATTCCTATGAGCTATTAATGTAAAATGTGCCTGGGCTATCGCCCGGAATCAGACATACAATCAAGCACATCTTTCAGCTGAAGTCAGTTAACAGTAAAGTACCAGAGGACAGGGATATCCTCTGCACCTTCAGCAATGTGCTTTTAAATAAGATACAACAGCGCTGTGACTATTTTAAAACAAACATCAGCTCTACAATCTGTAAGAAGAGGCAAGCTTTGCATCTGCAACAGACATCATCAAGTTAAACATTTTTCCTATACTCTGAACACCTACGAGCATATGGTGGGCATAAAGCTTTAGCATTCTTCCAGTAGCACCACAGACATGGGTAGAAGAGAGCTGGGACCTCTATAATTTAGATTAATTGCTTATTAGGGGTATGAGGAGAGGTGCTGTGGGAGTACTGCAGCCTGAAATAACAACCAGAGCAGGCATCTGAGGGGAGGGAAACCCCTCGGCCCTTGGGGTGGAGTGGCAGCGTGCTCTGCCTCTGCAAGCACACCTCTCCCTTCCCGGCTGCTCACACCACTTGGACACTGGCAGGGATCTCAACGTGGGTCTCCTTCTGGAGGAGCTGCCCTGACTCTCTGCCTTTTTGTATCAGTTACAGATTTTTGTACATCAGGCCACAGCAGATCCATACCCATTTTAAGTCTGGCTTCTCATTTTTCTCTGTCAGTGTGTCAGAAAGTGATGCTGGAACTCCAGCGCTCTGTCCCTGGCCAGCAGCACCACTGGTCCTCTCTGTAGGAGTGCACATTACCAGCAGTGCCTTTCTGAAGGACACAAAGCAGGCGTAGCTTGCAGCACAAAGTCTGGCTGCAGCTTTTCAGCCAGATCTGAGATTAGTTAGGTTGGGCAGTGATGACACGGGGGTCATCACAGGACTAGAACTGCCCAGCACCCCTCATGCTGGCATACCTAATTCTTGGTCATAATCGAGTTTAAGGATAGGCTGGGTTGGTCTGCAGACACTGATGGGGGGAGACAGAGATGGGGAGATCATGGATCACACATTCCCTCAACTGCAACAAATGCCTCTCCAGAGTGACAGGGCTTGGATCACCCATGCCAGAGTGCCCATCACCCAGATGCCACAGCTCCCAGTTTGTCACTGAGAAGAAAGGAGCTGCAGAGAGAGAGAGATGCTGCACTGCTTAGCAATGCAAGGAATGCGATGACATAACAGTAGAAAGGTAATTAGGGAATAAAAATCACCCTTGACATTCCTCTCCTCAGAAACATGTTCCATATCAAAGCCAAAGCAGTGGCCTGCCATGAGAAGCATTTTACTGAGAGCTCACCTAAAGCAACTGTAAGAAGTCCCCTGCCATGTTAGCAACCTTCTTCCTTCTCCACGCTGTGGCATGAGCAGAGAACATGGCATCATGGTATGGATGTGCAGCCAATACCAGCCATGCCAGTAAAGCACGTAATGAAATAGGAGCAAAGAGAGCAAGAGAGAAATGGGAGACAGCAATACTGCACTGTGGTGCTCCTGCACAGTACCCAGCAGCTTCAAACAGTACTGACTGATCCTGATGATCAGAGGATATCAGCTTTGACTGTGAACAGGTAACTGGAAGTGATGGTTCAACACTGTTTTCAGCACTGCTGTAGTTCAACATCCTAACTGAAAGGACAGTAAACACATAATGTTTTGATTCTGTTTGGAATGCAAAATATGTGGCACTGTTTTTTGCAATCAAATCTCCAAACGAAAACATGATAGGCATAGTATCCAACTCCCCTATTCAGCAGAATGCTGCAGAATATCCTTACAAAATAATTATTTGCACCAATTGTTTGCCAAATAGGGGTGCAAAATGCTTAGAAGAAGTGTGCTTGACTAAGAAGACAGTATTTAAACATTTTGGGTTTTTTTCTAAAAAAATGTGGTTGGTGTTTGTTTCTTTTTTATTTTTCCTGTTTCTTGGCAAGTAACAAAAATAACTGCTTTGGTAAGCATGTTGGTTTACTACTTGTTAAACACTCATCAATTAAATTATTGAAACATAATTACTGTGCAAGCAGTCTTCTCTCATATATTTTTAAAAGCAAAGTCCATTAGTATGGCTGCTTTCTTCCTCCAATCCCTGCTGTCTTTCTCATGTCTCTGAAGTGGCAACAGGAGGTAATTAGGATGACCAGCCTCTAGCTCAGGCTGAAACACAGTGCCAGGGCCAGGGAAAAAGAAGGCAAGGTCCATGTCACTTGGACAGCAGGTTGCAGTATCAACATAGTTCTTCCTGCTGCCTTAGCTCCATTTCCCTTCTGTACCCTCCCACTTGACTGCCCTGGTGAGAAGTGTTCTGTGTTCCAAGTAAAGGTCTGAGAGGAATATTCTGCTGTGCTCCCTTTTGAAAATTGCCTCATATCAGAGTCTGGACTCACCCACTTGAAACCGTCTCCAAGACCTGGGTCTGAAGCAGGTCTTGGATGTTGCACTAGCATACACACTAAAAGCAATTTTACATCTTTTCATATCTCTTCAGTTAAGACAGTGACAATTTGTGCATTTTATAAACCAATTCATTTAAATCTTACTTAACCCAAAGCTCTCATTTCACCACATCCTCCTTACGTCCTTAGGTGTCAACACACTCTCCAGTTACTCACTCTCAATGAGATAATTCTTATCACAGTGATGTTCCACAGTCTTCTGAATAACCAGGATTACAAATGGATGTTTTTAATGCAGTTATGCATATTGCACAGGTTGGAAATTAATTCCTATTTAAGGTATTGATCTAACAGGGAATGTAAGTGCATTTTTAAATTTGTGAGTCGTACTGAAAGCAAAAAGATTATTCGCATGATTAAAGTTCAGGTGACTTGTCAGAGCATAGGATAGTAGTGTAGGATATGTGTTTGGACCCAGTAAGATACTTAGGGATGTGGCTAGCTGTGTCTTATGGAACACTAAGCGCTTAAAACACCACCTAGGGTCAGATGGAAGAGGAAGATCACACGATGGCCAAACCTGCCACCTCTGTTTTCTCACAAACCTCTGCTCAATCTCACAATGGGTTTCATAACGCTAGCAGAACAGCTTTTCACAATTTGAAGAAATAATTACTAAAAATAACAGTCACAATAAAAATAATAATATGAAACCCTTCTCCTGAAGTTACAGGAAGATTGCAAACAGCGAAGGTTAAAAGCTGAAGAAGTGAGTAAACGAAGTAAACCCTAACTGTGGAAGATGAAGAAATCAAAGACATTTATTTTATTTGCAATGTAAGAGCTAATATGTCACCTTGCTGCCGCATTGGTGATAATTTTCAGACTGCTGGGATTACGGATCAGTTTATCCAGGATGCTGACAATCTGCTCAAACTTGGGTCTGTTGTTTCTGTCTTTCTGCCAGCAGTCCAGCATCAGCTGATACAAGGCAGCTGGGCAGTCCATAGGAGGTGGCAAGCGATACCCTTCATCAACAGCCTTTATCACCTGCACAAGGATAAAAGTTTTTGAAAACTTAAAGCACTTAAATCTACTTTTTTTTTTATCAGTTCTGTCAACCACATTAACGTGGACATCCCGTGTTTAAACTAATGTGTTTATTCACTAATTGTCTTGTCACGCAACACCTCTGGTTTATCTGCAAAGTAAACCAAGCAGTAAATTAGACATACAGAAAGGGGATTTAAGATACACTATGTGACTTTGAGGAAGGTGAGAGTCTAAAACGCATCTCCAGACCTTACACTTAATTAAATTCATAAACAAAAGCTATGGTTAGTAAGATGCATGCTTAACTACGCCCAGCTTCAAAAGATCTTGAATATCTCTTGTCTGATCATCCTTAGGAACACACACTTTTTACACTCTCCAGTGGACACTGCACTTGGTAGAAAATTAACTTACCCTCTCATGGGACATCCTGAACAAATACATGGAAGGTCTTGTGGATGCTCTCATAGGGCCAGAAAATATCTTTAAAATTTGTCACAAGGACAACTGTACAGTTCTTATTAGGCAGTGCAGGCCTAATTATTTTATCAGTTGTCTAGACTGACAAAATGTGTCTAGATTATCTATAATTTGTGTAGCTTGACACAAACACACACACACAAAATTACCTCAGAATTTACACGGTAATGAAGCTTTTTAATGCAATCTTTTGCTAGATTATAACATCTCTTGATCAGTCCTACAATACCTGTTCCACAATGAATAAAACCCTGATGTAGTCTAAGTAGAAAATAATAAAACTGTATTCTGTTCATCTTTCCTCTTTATCTGGATTAGTTAATTCGCAAGTTAATAAAATGCAAGGCAAGTTTAATTCCAAGTTAGAATAGAGATAGGAAAACAGTCCATGGTTTCAGCAGCCATTAGGCAGAGACACATAAATAGGTGAATCCTTCTGTTTCTGATTTTAATGTGATATTATTAAAGGCATTTCACCAGTATAACCCACATTACATAACACGATTCATTTATCTCCACTAACATTAGAAAAAAAACATTCATGACTAATTAAAAGAAATACACAGTTCTCTGCAGAGACTTGGGTTCCAGAGGTACACATTTGAAAGCAAGTTTTCTTATCTTCCTAGTTTAACAAAGTAGTAACAAAAACGCCTGACTACAACTATGCTACTGACTTTGTCTTAGCTACTGTACTTCAGAAAATTTGGTCCACAAGCAATTCCTAAGGAATAAATCTAGGATTAATAACACAACAGCAAAAGAACCCAAAACAGATACAACGAAAAACTTCTTTGGAGAAATGTTATGCTTCTTATAAAAACACTGGGATAGGCCCATTACTCATTTGAATTGCAAGCACGAATAGTTTACTGATGTTGCTAAGAAGCTTGTATTTGAAGTCTTCTAATCAGATCATTCTACTTCTCTATTTTATCTGTTGATTACTTCCAGAAGTATTTTGGCTTCATTAAACCCTTAGTAGAAATTCTTTGCTTCTCTTTTTCACAAGTGCCAAGAGCAATTTACTCTTTGTATTTGACATTTACAGAAAACCTCTATATAATATTACAGAAGTGGAACCAAAGGGGATCAACAGAAATTTAGGAAGGTTTTCTAACAAAAAGCTAAGGAATGTGAAAAGAAATTATCTCGTTGCACTGGAATTGTTTGAATCATCCTACAGAACACCACCAGTGTGATAAAATTCTCTAATATGTTCCTTCAGAGGTCCAAAATATCATGCTATAATGGTGCTGGCTTTTTGTTAAGTTCAGCAGAACTTTTACTCGACCAGGGAGATTTGGAGATTTTAATCTCTACATCTTACTCAATGTCAACGTCAAAAACTCAGAGCCACCTGGTTTCATTATGCTTCACTTCCTTCCACAGCTTGATCCTTTATTTGAGAACATAACTCAGATAACAATATACTCACATCCTGGTTGGACATCTCCCAGTATGGCCTCTCTCCATAAGACATCACCTCCCAGAGAACAATCCCATAGCTCCATGCGTCACTGGCTGATGTGAACTTCCGATATGCAATGGCTTCTGGGGATGTCCATCGGATGGGAATCTTGCCCCCCTGGGAGAAAAACAAAATAGAACACTCCGTTTGACTGTGCTACAATGAATACAATTTTGCATGATGGATTATTTTATCTCTGAGTTTCACAATTATCTTTATGTTGGCATAAATACCAGTGTAAGCTGAAAAGTGCTATTGCCATTTGTCATGAAAGCATCTTGTACACTGTAGAGAGTAAAATACATCACAGTGCAAAATCCACTGAAGCTATATTGTATACATACTATTTGCATGTACCCATGTATATTTACATGTAGCATAATATGCACAGATAGTAGTAAATGGTAAGCTAACTATGGCTGATTTTTAGTTTGGAAACTGGCAAGCCACTCATACAGTATTAAGGATGAAAAACCTAGTACAAGGTCCTTGGCTTGTATCCTAGATCCCTCTGCACAGCACAAGAGGGCTGGATTTGGCTATTTCTAAAGTATTTCAAGTGAATCCCCTGTTGCTGTGGAACCTGCATGGTTTCACCATGTTTTTACCACATGTTTTCTGGGACATTCAAGGAAAATGAGGGGCCAAAAAGTTCCTCGGTTCCACTAATGCCAATCCTCCAACTGCACAAGGCAGAGACTGTGACCATATGCACAAATTTCCTATTCCAAAGCCACCAGAGACAGTCACATGAAGACAGATTTGGATAGGTCATCTGTGCAGAGGGGAGAGTACAAAAGTGTAACCTGGGGAAGTGGTCTTAAACATATTTTACAGTCACAAGAGAAGCAAGCCATCATTAAATGATGTAAACTTGAAAGGAATTAAAGCAACCGTAACAATTAATACTGGAGCTAGGGGAATATCCCTGATTATAGTCATGATTTGGTGCTGTAAGACAAATTAGTAAAATGCACAAAACAGCCTCAGTCTGAGCTTCTGCAAGACGAGAATTAGAGGAGACAATTTCCAGTGCTGCCAGCTTTGACAGAGGTTTTTAAGACTCTGATTTGCGAGTCAGACATAAGAAAGTTCTAAAAGATAGCAATGCAAAGCTTGTTACTTAAGGTAATTCTGGAGTGAATGCATCTGAATACAGAAGAATCTGCAAATTTAAAGTTGTTTCCAGTGCCCGGGTTGAACAACATGTACAGGGATATACTCTGAAGATTTCACACTAAACTGGCTATTTAAGGTCCCACTGCAACTGCCATTATACTAGAGTAATACACTTATCCTCACAATAACCTGTGTGGGAAGGGACTGCTCTTATTTCCACTGAAATAAGAACCTAAATGTAAGGATATGAATACTTTGTCTATGCATCCATAAAGTGTTCCTGCACTGAGGGTGGCCATACACTCACCAGCTTCAGATTAACTAGTGTGGTTAACAATAGAAATGGGGACACTAGTGTTAATTAGAAACCTAACTACAGTCTAAATACACTGGAGCCTAAGCATCTGTAATTTTGTGACTAATATTGCAGAAATTAGATTAAACATAAGCAACACAGGCAGGCTTGATTCAGGCTACGATTTGAACCTCCAAAATGTCACAAGATATGTCTCAAGGCTTGGCAGAGATCAGAGAGGGAATCTCTCTTGGCATGCAGTTTTTATGGATCCCACCCTATTTAGCAGATTCACTACCTTAACCAAAAGACAAACCTTCGTCTCACACACAACCTTTAAGATCAGACAAACACTGAATTTTGACATTACTTGTGGACCAACAAATAGGACATAGAAAATAAACAATAGTATTTAAAATCACTGTTTCATCACAGAAGCCAGACTGGGAGCCTAATCTCTCTCTCTCTCGGAAATCTGTAAGATCACAAAATCACAGAATGTCATGGGTCGGAAGGGACTTCTGCAGATCACCTAGTCCAACCCCCCTGCCAAAGCAGATTCACCTAGAGCAGGCTGTACAGGAATGCACCCAGGTGGGTTCCAAATATCTCCAGAGAAGGAGACTCCACAGCCTCTCTGGGCAGCCTGTTCCAGTGCTGTCACCCTCACAGGATGAAGTGTTTCTTTATGTTTAGGTGGAACTTCCCGCATTCCAGTTTGCATCTGTTGCCCCATGTCCCAATCACTGGGTGCCTCTGAAAGGAGATCCTCTTGACACTCATCCTTCAGATATTGATAAGCATTAATAAGATCCCCTCTCAGTCTTCTCTTCTCCAGGCTAAACAGACTCAGGTCTCAGCCATTCCTCCTAAGAGAGATGCTCCAGTCCCCTAATCACCTTTGTAACCCTCTGCAGGACTCTTTCCAACAGTTCCCTGTCTCTCAAACTGTAGAGCCAGAGCTGGACACAGCACTCCAGATGTGGCCTCACCAGGGCAGAGTAGAGGGGTAGGAGAACCTCCCTCAACCTGCTGGCCACAGCCTTCTTAATGCATCCTAGGAGACCATTGGCCTTCTTGGCTACAAGGGCACACTGCTGGCTCATGGTTAACGTCTTGTCCACCAGGACTCCCCGGTCCTTCTGCATGGAGGAGCTTTCCAGCAGGTCAACCCCTAAACCTGTACTGGTGCATGGGGTTATTCCTCCCCAGCTGCAGGACTCTACACTTGCCCTTGTTGAACTTCATTAGGTTCCCCTCTGCCCAAGTCTTCAGCCTGTCCAGGACTTCTGGTGTGTCAGCCACTCCTCCTAGTACTGTATCATGAGCAAACTTGCTAAGGGTATGCTCCATCCCTTCATCCAGGTCACTGATGAATATGTTGAACAAGACAGGGCCCAGTGCTGACCCATGGGGAACTTTACTAGCTACAGGCCTCCAACTAGACTCTGTGCTGAACTGTCATTCAGCCAGTTCTCAATCCACCTCACTGTCCACTCCTCTAACCCACACTTCCTGAGCTTACTTATGAGGATGTCATGGGAGACAGTGTCAAAAGCCTTGAAAGATGATGTTATTTAGTCACAAAAATTACATTATATTTTCTATTCACTATAAGCTTATTCACAATTCCCAGTACTGTTCCATAACTGTACTGAGAACATAAAAACAATTTTGTTTTTCTCATACTCTATTGATAAGCAATATTATATGCCCTTTATAAATGTTGAGGGTCCCCCAGTGAGTCCAAGGCACTGTAATGAAACAAGGAAAGCTCTCCTGTGTCCTAGTGTTTACACATTTTGATATGGGGATGATCAAGAAATCAGTTCCTCTTTTTCAACTTTTTTTTCTACGCATACTAGTAGAGTGAACTTTGATTTCCAATAAAGAATGCAATACTGAGGGAAAGCCATATACTAAATCTACATAAACAAAAAACTGATTATCGCAAACAGAAAGAGCTTCCTAATCAAACATGTCCCACTTGTCCACAAAGGCTTTGTCACCTGCAAAACTGAGCAAACTTACAGGACAGCTACAAGGCCAAGGTGTCAGAACCCTGCTTGCACAGAGGAGTGGGTTGAGAAAAGCCCAGGCTGCATGCTGAAGACACCAGCAGACTTGCCCACAGGGTTCTCAGCCATCCCAGCCCATCTCAAATGCCTGGACAAAAGTGCCTCTAGACTACCCAAAACGTAAACTGCAAAGGACTTTACAGATCAAATCCAACCCCATGGACCACATCTGGAAAGGAATGTGCTGTTCACAGGGCTGCTAGAGCCTAGGCACAAGGGGCTACCACCATGCCCCATGGATGGCGGGGCTTCTGAGCTCCATCGCCCTGCCAGAGCTGCCACCCATGAATGTGTCCAGCAGGCATCAAGCCAGACCAACACTGGGGTTCGGTTCAAGATGAAATAGTCCATATTCCTAGCCAAGTGGCGACATAAAGAGAGAACTGTTGAACCTCACTGCTTCTGATAGATTCTTGTTGTTCCTGAATGCTTCATTGATAGCACTGCCACCTCAGACAAGCCCCAAGCCTCCTCTCACCTCTGCCAATCCCTTCAAAAAAATCTGAATTTCCATGGGTAGCTGCAATCTCACTTTTAAAATTTCGTGTTAAGATATGAAAATAGAGCCCTTCTTGCAAAACCCTAGAGAAATATTTGCCAGATGTCACATGGAAAAATGTGCTTGTGGCTAGAACATGAGCACTTTAGGCAAGGGCCGGAAATACCACATTTTATAGATGTTCTTCATCTTTATAATCTTAAGGAAAAAGTAATCTATACAATTGGAGAAGCACATTTACACAAAATGACATTAATTAGTCTCTTAAAATTTTGGGACTGCTTTATTGCAGGGTAAAGAAGACCATAAACTCAGTGAAACAAAGTTCTTCTGGCTCTGTTTTAGTGCAAGATGAAGCTACTTCAACCTTAGATTCTACTACGAGCAAACAAATTTCTTTGCTATGTCTCAGCTGTAACTCTGTACAAGTCTACAGATACATGTAGCATTACCATAAATTATAGTAAAATAAGGAAAGCATTAAAATGTAGCTAAAAATAAATAAATTACCACTGAATAGAGCATAAAACTACAATTTTGCTATTCTGCTCCCCGATTTGCCATAAAAATGTCAAATTTACATTTGTGTTTAAATGTGGGCTTTGCTGACTTTTTTTTTCAATAATTTAAGAGCAAGAACTGCCAAAATCCAAAGTTCTAGTAAATATTTTTTAGACAAATAAGCATTTTAACACAAACCCAATTCCCTCAAAGGACCGTGCAACGTTCACATTTTAGCAGATGTCCAAATATCAATATATGCAGAAAATTAGAAGAGTCATTTCAAATTAAATACATGGTTTCCTATTGCTATTACCTTTGAAAATTATAAGGTTTTCTGTAATTCGAAAAGTCTACTTTGAAATTTCAAACCTGTGGTCATTCTGCATTAGAAAATCCCTTTTAATTTCTCTCCATCATTTTTGAGAAATATACATCTGATACGAACACATATCACCTCTTCAATTTTCTATTTTTTTTCAGAAATCAGGATATTCTTTGCAATATCCTTCTCCAGGATCCAAGATATCTTACATAATTTACTTCTGCATAAACTAAACCAAGCACTTTCTTCTGACCATAGATGGGCTGGGAAACTAAGCTCCCATACGTGTCTCTTTACTTC